CCCCCCTCCCGCCCCATTGGTTGGTGGCTTGTGGTTTCGTTTGAGCGCCCGTTGTCGGCTGGCCTCTTCTTCCTTCTCGTGCCAGGAGGTCATGAACCTCTCAGCTCCCTGCAGCACCGCCGCATGCCAGGGTACTCCCCCCTCGACCTTCGTTGCTTCCGTCCACTTTAACGTCGGTGCTGTGCCTTTCCGTACCGGGATTCCGAGACAACATGGATCGGTTTTCGTAGATCCGTGGTCGGCCCCGAATGCCTTCAGGTCGTCGAGCACACACTTCGGGCAGTTCTGTTCCTGTCCCCCCCCTACGTCGCTTCTCCCCCCTCACCAGTTCGCCGAGCATCAGTCATTTCGGGAGTCGCCCGTCCGGCTGCCTTGCCAATGCTCCCGCGAACAGTAGGCGTCGTTGTCGGATCGTGACTTACACGCTCTGGCATTCGACCCTCTTCAGCGTCTGGGCGTAAGAGAGCTGCCGGTAGGTGTCTTTTTTGCGCTTGTACCCGATAAATCGAAGGAGCAGTCGGTGGTGTATCAACTGCAGCGTCTGACAGTGGCCGCTGAGTAGTGACTGTGTCATGCAGCCGAACAGCAGTGTCTCCATCGCCTCCGCCTGGAGCAGGCGGATCTTGAGTCGGAATGGCGCTTTCGGTCTGTCGAAGAGCTCCCGGCCATATCGCCTGAGGCACGCCCACGCTCCTCTGCTCCTGTNTCCGCCTGGAGCAGGCGGATCTTGAGTCGGAATGGCGCTTTCGGTCTGTCGAAGAGCTCCCGGCCATATCGCGTGAGGCACGCTCACGCTCCTCTGCTCCTGTAGTTGATCTCCCGGGTGAGGTCGCCATGTTCGTTGACGAGGCCACCGAGGTACCGGAACTCGGTCGTCTGGGCGTGTTTCTGTCCCGCGGCTTCGATGGTCAGCGGTGGAGGCGGGGGGGGCTGTGATGTTGAAGTCGGCTTGTCCTTCGTGCGCATCAGGAGCGTCTCCGTCTTCTTCTCTGACACCGTTAGCCCGAACTCCCCGAACACCTCAACGATGATGGTCATCAGTCTCACCAATCCTTCTGCAGACCTCGATACGACGCCGGCATCATCGGCATACAGCTGTTGCACTCGAAAGAATGGGCGTGATGTTGGTGATACAACTAGAACACCTGTTGTCTACATGGACTGCGATTGTCAGCCGTACCCGTCGCCATGGTGGATCATGAGGCCCTCAGGACTTGGAGTCAGAGGTCAAGCGGCAGTCGATTCACAAAGGGATAGTATATTCGTGTTTTCCTACCGTAAAGCCAATCTACTTGACCACGCACACAGACTATTTTGTTTTAGTTTATTCTATTTTTCACATCCCTGTCTCATTTCGTGTCGCCCACCCCGTTATTGTTTCCTCGCATCCCTTGACAGCGCCACGTTCGGACTCACAAGCGGCCTCGGGAAAAACGATGGATGGGCAAGAAGAAGGCGTGATTAAACATGCAGAGGAGGGTGAGGAACGATGGCGGCGGTTGGAAAACAATGGCGCACTTCGGTGGAAAGAGGGCGAAAGATGCCTCACCCATGAGCATCACTACAATACGCTTACCCACTCTTTCGCACCGTCCTACAGTAGTGCAAAAGAGTCAGATCCTCATGGCAGACGGTGTCATTGTTTCATGTGCCGTTCCCTCTACAGTAATACAGTAGTGCCGCCACCAATGTTTTCTGCCATACAGTAGATACTCGAGAGAGATGGGTATTACGAGTATTTTCGCCACACAGAGGACACCTCTTGCTGTACGTACTTTTGTGCATGTCGTTTCTGCTTTATTTGTTCTCGACACGCCTTTCTCTCTTGAGGCCACGAGCAAACAAGCAGGGTATCTGCCGTATTCAGGAGCAGGATTTCTAGGGTGATGAATCCTTGGAGACTCTCTCCGCGCGAAGCTCCCTCACGCGAAAAAATCTGGATTGTGTTCGAGTATGTGGCATTCTTTGATGTGAGTCATGTACTGCTGTAGGGGCGCGCCTGTCTAAGACACACAGCACGCTTTGCTTTCGTGATTTCGGTAGTCGGCTGGCAGTCTTGATCGAGGGAGTACTCCGCAAACCTAAATTTGTAGCTTGCGTGATGGATGCACTCCTTCAAGGGCAAACACCCACCATGCATATCGAAAGGGACACTTGTTGACACGTCAACACTTGAGAATATCGGGCCTCCGATCGCCAATATCCGTTTGGTCTACCAGCGCATCGGTTATGCTGTGTGTTTCCTGTGCCGTCTGGCATCACAGCCATATTTTCGGTCTTGACCGTTTGTTATGTCATGCACGAGGTGCTTTGGATGACACGGCGCTTCAAGAGGAGATCCTCGGGGTGCCCAGCGAACACGCACGCGAGCAGATGATTTGCAACTTTCAATTAAGTCTACCCTGGGTGCTGGTCTTTGTTGGGGTCTGTGTATACATGTACACTGCCATGCGAGCCCCGGCTCGGCGTATTGAACCCATGGCTGGTCTTGGCGAAGTACAACGTTTGCGGTACATGCTTTGCAATGGTCTATTATTACATTCCTACACCGCGTGGCACTGTTTGTGTGGTGTGTTTTTGTCATCCCGTCAACGCTGGACATGAGGTTGAACCGTTCCCGTAAGTTAGGGCGCACTGTGCTAATATGGCTGCTGTACTACAGACTGTTCACAAGAAGATCAGCGCCCCCATCATAAACCGGGCCCCGGTACACACTCAATACAGTAGAACTGACTACTTGTACATGAAAAGTAGGAGTCAGATGTATACTCCATAAGTTGTACTGGTATGCATATGCAGCTGGGTGCAGACTGCACGTTCTCGACCTTCGGCGGTTGGCAGGGTGTGCACCGTAGCGTGCAAGCTCCCTACGTGCAGCGGCTGGGGTTGCTTACGACAGGGATACCGCAGATACATCTCCCTCTTGAATATATGTCTCCTTGTGCTCGTTCGTAATACGCCTCTGCGAATAATTACTAGGGGAAACGATTGCCCCCCCGCCCCCCAATGGGGCGGGCGGCCAGCATACGTGGGATGGGTCGGTTTGATAGGCAGAGGAATTAGAGGCGGTGATGACATCGGCACGGAGGACGGGTAAACGAAGTCTTGGACATTGTGAGGTCTACACGTCCGTTACGAAGATGATCGGCGGTATAGGAAGGAAAGTGAAACCGAAACGAGTGTTGGTGGAAAGGTAAAGGTCGATGCCCGATCACTCCACGCAAGGCGGACGGAAAACGGAGGAATTCGTGACATACATTCCGTTATTATATGACTGAGGTGTTGTGTCACCTCCGATTTCAATCAACATAATCTGGATGATGTAGTCTAGACTACAGCTGTAGGACACGATTGATGATGGAAGATTGAAAACCGGATTTGAATCCAAAACAACACATTTTCAACACCGCGGGTACATGTCTATAGCAGCACCATTTCACTTGGCCCGGTGGCCTCGCATTGAAGTATATCAACCACCCCGCACGAAGATCTTTGTTGCTACAGACACGTGCAATGGGACCATCACCGATCCTCACGGAAACGGGGACTGCCTCACTTCCACATCGTGTTCAAAGGCGACGGAACCGCTTTGCATCTTTTTCACTAGACTACACCTGCAATGTTAGTCGAGCGGTTCAGATCGTCAATCATGGAAGACGCACTGAACCGCTCCCTCTTACGCATCGTGCTCAAAGGTGAAAGGAACCACTTTGCACCATTCAATCGATTGCAAGTGTAGTGAATGGTGCAAAGTGGTTCCGTTCACCTTTGAACACGATGAGGATGTGAGGCAGTTCCCGTTTCCGTCAGGATCGGTGATGGTTCCATTGCGCGTGTCGCGGCGAACGATGGGGACAGAAAGCAGAATTGTCAATAGAACTAGGGGGAACGGTTGTCCCCCCACCCCCCAATAGGGCGGTCGGCCAGCATACACATGGAACGGGTGCGGCTGTTCGATAGGCAGAGGAAGTAGAGGCGATAATAACATACTTATCCTCGAGACGACTCCGTCCTACGACTGAAGCTCGACAAGGGGACGTGCGGAACTCATGACACCCACATCCGGGTGTGCACCGTAGCGTGCAAGTTCCCACGTGCAGCGGCTGGCGTTGTTTGCGACAGGGATACCGGAGATACCTCTCCGTCATGAGGATGTGTCGCCTTTGCACATTTGTCCGCTCCCCGGAGAGACTGTCAAGTCAATCCGTTTCGGAATAACGCCTCTGTGTATAAATGGAGTCTCCGAAGCGTCCCAGCCCCCCCCCCTCCTGCGGTTGCCCCGACACCCGAAAGCCGGCACCCGACTCTTTGCACGTATCGACAGCTGAGCTGTCGTCCCCTTTCCATAGGGGCAGCGGGCCGCTGCTATGAGACCACCATCTCGGCCGAACGAAGCAGCAGCAGCAGCTGCCTTGCCGTCAACGTGGAGATCGAACAGCTCGTCCGCCCTCACGTTGATCGTGACGATCGCCTTGATCAAGCACTTCTCCAAGCCACAGGCGGAGGAGCAGCCGGAGGGCACGTCCTCTTCGACCGGCAGCAGCGAGCAGAGGGGGCGAAAGCGACCTACTTCTAGGCCCAAAGTCGATGTGGTAAAGCCTCTTCCAAGTTTCCGATCATATTATGTAGACTTGTACAGTAGTCGATGGAGCGGCACTGCGCCGAGCATGCAACAGCGCACGCACTTCTGAGTCCCGTCTACTAAATAATACTGCTGTATCTCAGGCGTGCAGAGGGCGGGGGGGTGTATGTTGTCCCTCCTGTGTAGCTGCACATATGCACCAGCATAGATGACCTCTGGGCGTTCTATCGTTGCTGCAGTGACTCTGCGGCGTTTTGTGGTATCTTGTGGAATGATCGGGTTTTTTGCTTCTCGTCGATTTCCCCGCCTGTTGTAGTTGACCCACCGCGCGTACTGCAACACCGATAAACGGTTGGAACATGCGTGCAGAGACAGCGTATCTTGGGAGTACTAATACTGCTGTTGTGCAGCGCTGGTGTTGGTCTACATGTCTCAATTATGTTATGCATCCTCGGGTCCAATCGCTTGATCTTCGGGGTGCTCGAATCACATCTCAATCGCTTGTAGGTCGCCATGTTGTCGGCCAAGATTCAGACTCTCGCTTTTTCGCCCCGGGGGTTTTGGGTCTCCATAGCAGTCTCACCCACCCCGTACAAGCAAGGTGTTACTCCGGCAGGGTCGCGCCCACGTGAGTGATAGCAAAGCTCACCAACATCTTGTGTGCTACTTCGTCCTGCTTTCTATGTATCTGCATGCACCGCTATTGTATGGCCCAGGCGTTCCTCCGGCGAATCTCGCGCTTGCTCAAAGTGATGGTCCCAGGGCCATCCTCTGTAGAAGCGGGGTGCCTAGGTGAGCTTTCCTGTATGCCTTAGGGTGGTGACCTTCCCCCACGATGTGTGCACCAGCAAGATTTGGAAGGCTGAGATAATCCATTTTAACTGCTGTGTATTTCTCTCCAGCGGGTGTGTGGCCCAGGTGCCGTGGGTTGGTTCTTAACGGCGGACCAATCTGTTGTCATTTGTTACCCATAGTACTATTTTCCTGTCCCTTGGCTCGCTCCTACAGTAAATGGGGTCCGTGTGTGACACGCAGCTACTTTCCGCCTCCGTTCCATGCAGCCGACAGACTGAACACAGTCAACTCTTGAAGAAACCCTCGGCGTCTGTGCTACATTACTGTACCAGCAGTAGTAGTAGTTTTCTTCTTGTGTTTCCCACAGATGGTTGGGGCATGACGTCACTTTTCCGCAAGTACCAACGCGATCGACGTTCTCCTGTGGCATGCTCGTATCGGTGTTGTAAAGTGCCTAGCACGCGTTCCCCCAATGCCTGGTGTTGTTCCCAAAGCATGACTTCAGACAGATTTTTTGTAGAGGATGGTGCTCACAAACCCCCTTTTCGTTCAATACCCCTCACGTCGGAACGACAAACGCACGGTTGTCGATCGGGTGGACAAAACACGCAGTGGCTGTGGCGGGATTGCTCTTGGCAAGGACATCACTCGACGTGGTGATGCTCAACCTCACCACGACTATCGAACACGCCATCGTGGAGAGAAGCAAGGAGGGGTTCAAGAGGGGGATGTCTCGCTTCGTTCGGATGTGTGTGCCGATTGCGGTGGTCAACTCGGTGAGAGCGGGAAACGTGAAACGAGAGAGAAACGGGGGGGGCATGCCCCCCCCCCACTTCGCCGATTGACCCAACACCCGAATGTTCTCTGCGCAACTTTTTGAGGAGAAACAAGAGAACGCCTGTGCTCGTTCTCAAACGGCACGCGATGGTCGATCACGAAACGACGGAGGCGAAGAACGAGGGGGTACGCGTACCGTAGATGCCACGACCCTCCCCCCCCCCCCCCCCCCCCCCCCCCCCCCCCCCCCCCCCCCCCCCCCCCCCCCCCCCCCCCCCCCCNTGCTCAAGTACTGCCAGTCTGAGCTCTCGTTGCGGTTTCGCCAGCGCCTGACGGAGCACGTCATGTCCAAGTACATGGAGGGATTCACCTTCTACGCGGTGTCGAACTTGGACGATCGGATCGCTAACGCGGACCAGGTGCATGACGCATGATGCCGACATCGTTCAATGCAGAGCCCCGCATGACTCGTTGCGATTGCGATGCAGGTAGTGTCGCTCTGCTGTGCTACACTGCGCCGATTTCAAGTCGCCGCTTTAGAAACACTCTCGCTTCCGGAAAGCAACGGTGTCGCTACTATTCTTGCCCTTGGCCATGCGGTCATACGCGGCGCTGTGCTAGTAAACGTTTTCCCTACGGGTGGTCATTGGCCGTATCCTCCAACGCGCGGCATCCATCCATCCAACACTGCGAACTCGTTCGTCATTTGTCCTTTGCTCTCCAACATAAAAACGTGTTGCCGGTGGTCTGGCCAGGCGATTACCCAGGACGTTGAACGTTTCGCGGCATCAATGGCGGACCTGTACTCCAACATCACCAAGCCGGTGTTAGACATGTTGATTTACGTGCGCAGGTTGTCCGACAAGGTGAGCGGACCGACCACCCCATAAGCGTTGCGGGCAACCCGCCGGCTCGCTGCCCGCGTGAAATCAGGCCATAACCCTGTTCATCGCTCGTAGCTTCGCGGGGCGCGTGGTCTACCCGGCCCCCAGCAAACTAGACATATTTCTACGGATGGTGTTTGCGCACGGTCGTCGTTGCTTGACCTATCTACCGCCGCATTCCTGCATCTCCGCCTCTTTCTTAACTTGAGCGGTGGCGCCAACAGTCATTTCAAATCACGAGTACAGGGGGGGGGGGGGGGTACTCATAGTCGTGCATGCCGTAGTCGTTAGACCATTGACCTCGCATCCCTACACAATGCACCAGAGCAGCGGGGGCGTGTCAAATGATTGCTTGGAGGGAATGGCGTGCGCTTCCGCGGCCGTGTTTGCGTCTAGGACCCCGGCGCGGCCGTGGTGGTTGAGCACCACCTCTGGTTCCCTCGCTGATTCGTGACGGTTGCTGTCTTCCTTACTCCCAACTTGCGCTGTTATACGCGCACCCTGCATCAACTGTTTACGTGGAACGCTGCTGGCAATCTAGAAATCCGCATTTACCCTTTACCTCAAACATTGCTACCGCTAACATGCCCCACTTTTGACGGGTTGGAAACGGTGTGTTTGGTGCCCAATAGGTTGATCCCGTGGCGCCGGCGACGATGATAGCCTACCTCCTGCTGTCAGGGGTGGCTCTCAGCGCACTTAGGTGATTCGGCGCATCCTCTTCTTGGCAGTGCAGTGCGGTTCTGTTCAAAGAAATCATGTAATACCATGGCTCGTGGTATAGAGATCTTGGGCAGGAAAGTGCAATTGCGTCGAGATTTTTGGTGTGTGGAGTTTGGAGGTAGTTTTAAGCTGCGCGAACGCCTATTTTCGAAGCGAAGGATATCGCTTGGATGGGAGACACAAGCGCGAGACAAAAGCCGATGTCTGTTGCCTGCGCCAGCACGAAGGCCGCCGCGGCCGAACTTATTCTGCTCTCATTGTTAACATATCTCTCCCTCTCTCTCTGTCTCTCTCTCTGTTTCGTGTCTTGTCAGAAAACCGACAGCGATGTACACCGCACTGGTGGCGCAGCAGGAGGGGGAGTACCGCTACGTTAACAGCCGATTGGTCACCAACGCGCAAGGTGTGTGAGGAAAATGTTGTCCGATCCTCGATCCCCCTTAAGGTACCCATAAATCCCCGGGGTAGCGTAACTCTTGCTTAGCAAGCCGATTTCATGCGAAGCTGCTGAAGTTTGTGCGCTGTTCTGTTGGCCTATATGATCATCCTGCGCTTGCGCAATGCCACCCCTCAGCGGCCCCGGCATGTTTTTTTGTCTGAATCGTCACTTTTGTCCGCCCATCCCTCTCCGAGCAGAGATCGCGTTCTACAAGGGCAACACGAAGGAGAAACAGGTGCTGGAGGGGGTGTTCGACAAGCTGGTGTCCGTCACAAGGCGGTCGGAGAGGTTCCGGCACTCTCTCGGTGCCCTTGATTCGGTGGTGGCAAAGTACTTCGCTAGCCTCGTGGGCTGGACGGTGGTGTCCCGTCCCTTCGTCAACAGGGACCACCCGAGACATGCACACAGCACCGCGGCTGAGGTCTACCAAGGTGCGTGCGTGTCATGGAGCACGTGGTACAGTGGTGACGCTCGTTTCTTGAAGGTTCCCTAACCACAACACATGATACGCTCTCAAGACAACGAAGGAAATGATTTGCACACTCTCTGGGTTCTGTAAACACAGCATATGATACGCTCAAGACCATGAAGGAAATGAACACGCTCGATGTTTGGATTTTGCGGGAATCATCCTGTAGGTTTTAGTTTTTGAAAGTATACGTATCCTCACAGAAAGACTTATTCTAAATCAGAATAACGGGGCCCTTTTTTTTTCGATTCTCTACAGAGAAGCCGCCGAACAGATTCTTGCGGTACTTTTGAAAAAGAAAAAAAAACTGCTGCGCGTAGAAGATGCTTTTGAACGCGGTTGAAAGCCAACCCGCCTTTGTCACCTTTACGATAGTGCTGACCATGCGTCAAGAGTGCAAGTTTTTAGTTGGTGTTTTTGACTAAAGTAACTGCGCCCCGCATCTCTCTTTCTCGCTTACCAAAGCGCTCCAACCTATTTGTCTTTTCTCGCCCGCCGCACCACAAGACTACCACTCGAGCGGCAGGATGATGCTCAAGCTGGCGGCAGCCCTCGGCCGCCTGGTGCTCTCCGGCCGAGAGCTAGCCCGCCTGTCGGGCTTCAGCTCTAGGGTCACGGGCCTCATTGACGTGATCGACGACGCCAACAGAGGCGTTTTCAAGAGGGGACAGGTGCCGAATAGCCCCGGTGCCGCTATCCCCGGAGCGGAGGCGGCGGCAGCGGCGGCCGCAGCGGGTGCTGAGGGTACCTCGGCGGCGTCGGTAACAGTGGTCGCAGACGCTACCGCAGCAGCAGAGAGGGCGGCGGCGCCTGCGGCCCCGGCGGCGGCGAGAATAACGCCTCCTCGACGAAACCCCGGTGTGTCGGGGGTTAACTTCGCCACGGAGGAGGACGGGAATTCACCGAGTTGGGCGGCGGATGCCGAGGAACGAGAAGGTGCGTCCGGGGAACCCGGCCGTATCAGCAAAGAGGACGGCGACGTTTCTGGGGCGATTCCTCGGTTGACGTCGTCATTGTCGGAACCTGCTCGCCCATCGTCGATCTCATGCGCACCCGCAGATGGCCATCCCGCGATGATGGCCGGAACGAAGGAGGCGGCGGCGGTAGGAGTAGCCCTAGGGCAGCCCGAGCTCGCGCCTGAAGCTGCTGGTGCCGCGAGGGCCTCGGAAGCGGCGGCGGCGGGGGTAAGCGGGGGTGGTGGCGACGGCAGGCGGGGAGCGCCTCCGCTGCAGCGGTCGGGGTCGGTGGTGGTGCAGGAGGTTAGCGTCATCGAGTTTGTGGACGTGCCTCTCGTGACCCCGACTGGGGAGGTGCTGGTAGAGGCCCTTTCTTTCAAGGTAGGCAGGCATGTTTGGACTTGGCAAGGCCGGTTCTACCTATATCGCGAAGAGGACGACGGCAAAATACCATGATCCGCTATACCGCTAGAATCGTCGTGGTGTATGGTCAGTCCAAGACCCAATATCAACAATTGCGACACCCACTTTATGAATTGTTTCTCTGCACCCAGGTGGTTGTTCGCAAAGTACCGGCAAACGCCCTGTTTCCAGGTGCAGGTCCCTGTGGAAAGTTTTATTTTTATTTTTTTCTTGTTGTCGATTTATTTGCAAATAACCGGAAAATCTTGTTCACTTTTTCCTGGGGTGGGCTTTTGTCAGACCACAATTATGAGACCGGATTTCGACAGCTCTCGCGATTCCCCAGGTGGTATTTTTTTCCGATTTCGATTTCAGCAAAAATTGACGAAGTTATCGCCGAAAAACTGGATTAGAGAGACCATTTTGTTCACTTTTTCACTCCGACATTCAACCATAGAGCTTCAAAAAGACCACGGCAATCGATTCCTCTCGAAATTCCCCACATGGAATTTTTTTCCGATTTTCCGAAAAAAATCTGGTTCGCGAGATATTCGGCATTTTGTTTTGCCGATGGGCGGCGATTTGTTCCTGCCACTCACGCACACACGCACGCACACATAGCGCTTGTGCGAGGGTGTGCCCTCGCCCATACGCCCTACTGCGGCACTCAGCACCCGCAGCAGTCATGGACACGAAGAAGAAACGTGGCAGACCACCAAAGCGAGGCAGGTTCAAAGGCAAATTTCAGAGCCATGAACCAGCTGTCGCTGCTCCCGAGCCATTGGACGACAGCACATCTTCTCCGATGGAAGTCGTTGACGAACCACACGACGACCACGACGAAGCCTGGTGCGACGAAGACGCCGGTGCCGCCTCGGGTGGAAGTCAGGCCACACTGTCTTTCGGGTCCGCTGCTGCTCTCGGTGAGTCTCCAGCAGCTTGCGCCGCACTGTCTTGGGTTCGCGAGGTTGCGCCGCCTCGGCGTGCGGAGGGACCTTGTCGGCAGACTCTCAGCCGTCGCAGACAGGTTGCGCTAGGGGCTGCGAAACGTCAGATGGCGAGCTATATGGCCGGCTGGCTGACGCGTGGAGCGGAGCAGCAGTCACAGCAGTCATTACCTCAAAGTTCGGAGACGCAACGTGCGGCGGAACCACTGCTTGAAGAGGACGACAGCAGTGCGGTGCCTGCTGCTGCGTGCACCGCTGAGCCAGGCAGCGACGGCGGCCGCGATAGCAACAGCGATAGCTGCAGCGAAACCGACATGCTTGTTGAAGATGGTGTGGATCTACCATTGCAGGAGTGGGTCGGTGAGGGCGAGCAAGCAGAAGCGCAAGGAGCTGTGGAGGAACACTGCGACGATGGGTACTTTTCGTGCGGAGGGTTTCTCGACGGACACGACTACCCGTCTGACCGGAGCGATGGTTCGCTCGACAGCGACCGAGACAGCGACCAAGACAGCGACGCCGGGCGCGACGGCGACGTTGAGCCCCGGGGTAGCAGTGCAGCAGCAGCGATGGGGAACAGGCGGGAACAGGGCGATTGCGGGTTCGGTGGCGATGTTGAACTTGGAGGAGCAAGCGGAGCACCAGCTATCGGCGGCTGCAGTGCAGCCGCCAAAACCGCCGCCGCCGCCACAACCCGACAACCGGCCACCGCTGTTCGACGGAGCTCGAGGGAAACGTCCAGGAAGGAGTATTTTCCCCCAAGACGCGCCAGCGCTGACCGCGTCGGGGGAAGTGGGTCCGGGCGGGGAGTGCGCAAGCTGCTGCGGGATGAGGTCCAGAACCCGCTGTTGAGGTTGAAACGCGAGACTGCCAAAGCTAAGCGTGTACACCGAAAGGCGAGAGTCCGGCTAGTAGGACAGTTGTGGACGAAGCAGCAGCTTGCACGCCAAGCGAGGAGGACACGCAAGCATTGCTCGGAGCGCAAGGAGGAGCTTGTCAGGATATTCCGCCAGGCGCTGGACAAAATAGACCAGGTGTGTTGTTCGTGCGTGTTTGTGTGCGTTTGTCTGTTTGTGTGTGATTGCTGTATTTTACGGCGGACGGCGTGGGTACCCTACACACGTCACAGTAATATGCATCTTTGCCCATTACCTGTCTATGGACCTCTGCTGGGTGCTGGTGCTGTGTACACGGGTGAATAGCGACTGTCATGTTTCTGTCTAAGCGGCACATCAAACGACTTCTTTCGCATTGCACTTGTGTATGTATGCCGCTGTGCAGGCCGGCAACGACTACACGAGCCTGGTGGAGAAACCGGACACGATGCTGGCGCGAGTTCGTGCTGTTCGTGTCTGTCGGGTGATCGGGGCCGTCCGGACGTACCTTACCATGGAGTGAGTGTATGCTCGCCGTTCGCAAATTGAATTCGAAGAATGTGCAAGTCTTTAGGGGAGCCCCTTGGTTTGTTGAGAGCATCAACCCTCCACCCGTCCGTCCATCCCCATGTTGGTGGGAAAATGTGAGATCACGGTAAACATGCTTTCCGAGCTTGAGCCTTTTCTTATTCGACATTAGTTGCAGAAGGACGTCTTCATTGTTCCCCCCCCCCCCGTCCCCTCGACGTCTACCTGCGTCTTTTTCTTTTGCAATCTATGCAAAGTATGCCAACAGTAGGCGCATGCTGCTGCCCCAGTTGTCATGACCGCTGCCGTTGTCGATGTGCATTTTAGCTTGGTTGTACAAGAGCGCCTATGTTTGTAGTTACCTTTGTGCTGTGCCGACTGTACCTTGGCAGGATAAACGAGGGGGTGAAGAAGCTAGCGCACAGCCGCGCCGTCGGGGAGGCCGTGGGTGTCCACGCCCGGACCGTCCGGAAGTGGGTGACGGATTTCTGCAAGGACGGCAAGTTCGTTGTTCCCCATCGAGAGTACGTGAAGCGGCAGCCCTTCTGCTATATCGACGACGAGGATATCAGAGAACAGTGCCGGGAATACGTCGACGAGCGGATTTACCGTCGGAAGAAGGGGCAACCTCGCTTTCGGGTCGCCGACTTTCAAAGGTGAGGTTGTTGCAGCGAGGAACGGAGAGTGCAGGTTTGGTTTTGGTGCGGGAAACGCTCTGCGCATGTTTTCTCTCTCTAAGACATGCAACAGCGCGGGTATTTTTTACGGCTCTTGTTTCTCTGAAACAATCCCTGCCTCCCTCCCTTTGGTGCTGCGCGTCAGGTGGGTAAACACCGTGTGCCTTAAGGAGGAGTTCGCCGGCGGTGGGGGCATTTGCCGCAGCACAGCGCACGTCTGGATCGCCCAGCTCGGATTCAGGTGGCGGCGACACGGCAAGTGCGTGTACGTCGACGGCCACAACCGACCGGACGTTGTACAAGCAAGGAGGTTGTACACGGAGAAGATGTTCGTCATGCGTCGCTTGATGTCCATGTAAGTGGTGTGGAAAGGCGGCGGAGCCGGTACCTGGTTGGGTAGTACGCGGCGAAGGGCGGGACGAGCGCCAATGAGAGAGTACAGTGTCGAGTATGCCCGGCAAAAATGCTGAATAAACTTGTCCGAAAAGCGCAGGCTCCAGCCTAGTCTGTTTCTTTATGCGAACGCGTCACATCGTGTATAATATGCTGTAGATGCGACCCCCGAATACGAGACAGCAGTTAAAGTGGACGAAAAAACGGGCTGTCTATTATTTTTTTGCGAGTTGGTGCTTTCGGTCAAAGGGGTATTTTTCGGTGTGCTCATGCAGGGTGCCATACTCGTAGCGCCAGCGATGCCGTTTCATCAGCAAGCACGAAAATAATCAAAAACGCGTTCTTGCGCAACAGGGAAGTTAGGGGCAGCAGTTCGGTTGTGGCCTCGATTCTTGTGCTCGTCCCCTGCGCTGTTATTTTGCCAACCTAAATTTTTATATTTTGCGTTTTCGTTGGCCATCGCTTTGTTGTACCTTGCACCCCCCTGCACCCAACGAGCCGGAAGAAAATAGTTTGTTTGTCAGCCGTGGGAAGAGAAGCGTACCATACTGATCGCGCCCTCTCTATGCGCCCCCCCTTCACCGCCCTCGAACCTCGTGATCACAGCCCGGAAAAAGTCGAAACCGTGGTGATGGTGAAGGTCCGCGACGCGCGTGATCGGGAGAAGACGTCAACGGACGACAGACGAGACGACAACATCACCGCTGCGGTCGCTTGTGCGGAGCCGGTGCTCTGGCCGGCAGTACGAACGATGCCCGACGGCGGGGTGGACTTCAAGCACGTTCTCGTCTACGGCGACAAGTTCACGGAGGCAACGGGCCACGACCGCTGCTGCACCCGTGTCTCTGTCGACGCGGGCGACCTGGAGATGACCGGTCGGGGGGGGCACTACACCCTGGTGCCTGATCGTGAAGTGCAGGAGTGCTACAAGGCGGAGAGGGTCAAGGAAGAGGCGCTCTTCTGGCCGGCGAAGCGTGTGGTGGCTGGCAAGGAGGAGTACAAGCACGTTCGCGTCCGCGACGGAGAGCAATTGCGCGGGAGGAACTGCAAGCGTGTGGGAGAGTTCAACTGGATCTCTGCCGACTGCGACTGCCACGACTGCAAGCGAACCCCATTCGTCGACTCCTCGCGGGTGCCGTTCAACCGGCGCGACTTGTCCGCAAGTGACGGGCAAGGAGACTTCTGCCTACTCCCTGATCACGAGGTGTTGGCCCTTTACTTCCACGACGAAACGACGGCGAAGGAGAACGACGATGGCGGCTGCCAGTGGATGGATGGTCAAAAAGGAGCCGCCATCAAGAAGAAGGGGGAAGGGCGGGCCGTGCACGTGTCTGACATCATCGGCGTGGACAGAGGCGTTGCGGTGATCGGGAAGGAGGCCTGGGGCATGATGCAGGAAGACAAGAGCGTCGGGTACGCTCCGGCGGTTGAAGTCATCGCGCAAGGGCCCGCTACCGGGGACGGGGACGTGCCTGAGTGTTTCGTAGTCCGTCAACGCTACGAGCGATCTGGGATCTACTTCGGCAGGAAGGAGGGCGACGGGGAGGATGGCCACGCCGTCAAGTTCGTACAGGATGCGGTGGAGTTGTTGAAAGCGATGCCAGCTGACTGCGGAGTGACCAAAACCAAGAACGACCCGCGCACCGGGGCGGTTATCATGACCGTGGGGCAAAACTCGGACGGGTACTGGACCAACGACAGAATGTGCAAGCAGATTCCGGGGTTGATCGCCATCCACGAGCTGACGAGTGAGCCCCACCGCCCAATGGTGATGGTCTTCGACAACTCCACGGGGCACGCCGCGTACGAGGAAGGCGCACTGGTGGCTAGCCACATCCAAAAGAAGCCGGGCGGGGGGCAGGTCATTCTTGACGATTTCCTCGACGATCAGGGGAACCTTGTTCACGCCACATTTCGCGAGGGCGATACGGTTCTTTTCGACACGCACGTCTACGCCGCAAAGACGCCCGAGCAGCTGGAGGAGGAAGAGAGGGAGGCGGCGAAAAAGGATCCAAAATACAAGAGGCCCAAGTTCGGCAGCAGCCTTGGAGACTTCAAAGCGGGCGAAAAAGTACGGACTACCGGCCGTACCTCAGGCCTGATCGGCCAGGCGAAAGGCGGACAGCAGCTGCTCATGGAGATGGGCTTGTGGGACGTTCCTGGCCAGGCTCCCATTCGGGTTCTCGAGTGCAAAGCGTGCAAAGAGGAAAGGAAGGCAATA